AGTTTTGTTGAAATCGGTTGAAAAATGTAGGAAATCCGATCCCATATAAAACGAACACACACACACACACACACACACACACACACACACACACACACACACACACAACCAATCTGGGTTTTATAATAAGTATAACTTGATATGAGTTGTCCCCCTTTCATTAATGCCTCTTAATCGTGTTTTCAAATTGATTTCGTGGAAAAACAATTGTGTTTTTCCAATTTTTGGCCCTGTCAGAACCACCACAAGGTAATTTTACGTAGTCCTGTTAAGTTTTGTTGAAATCGGTTGAAAAATGTAGGAAATCCGATCCAATATATAAACGCACACACAAACAATCTGCGTTTCATAATAAGTAAGATTATTATTGCAATATTTTGTTACAGTTGTTAAGCTCATATATTTAACGACGCGATAAGGGAATTTCTACGGATATTTATCGTCGTAAAACTTGCCATGAACTTACTTAATCATTAACATGAGAATTAAGATTCGTTAAAATAGGAAAACCGTGTCTTTCTCGTTAATAGAAAAACACATTGTATGTAAAGAATAGTTTTTATAGAAGTTTTCATGCACTTATTAAGATAAAAGCATATTTTATCTGAAGTGTATACTCTATTGAAAGCTTTCTAAACTTATTAACATAGAAACACATTAGATCAAAAGAGAAATGCTTATTGAAGGTTTGATGAACTTCAATACTTCGTTAAAAAAGAACATACCCTAATGAAAAAAGGCCTCAAACTTAAGCAATTTTGAAAGAACAAAGTATTTTTTGAATATTTAAAAAAAATTAAATCTTGTCTAGCACGTCCGAAATTTTAGTTAAATATCTTGTTTTTTTTTTGAGTCAACAAAATTTGCATAATCAAGTCAGCCATTTTTGACAACTTTGTAAACAAAAGTGAAATTCTTCATTTAAAAATCTTGTAAAATTCAATAATATTTTGTTCAAAAGTTAGTTTAGGAAAATTAGAAAATGTAAAGTATACTTAATGTAATTTGAAACAAACATTACTTAACTTTTTTGCAGAAGAAATTTAATTGAAAATAAAAGAAGCATATGTAATATTGATGATTGGTTTTGGAGTGGTGAAGTGACATTTACGTCAGTATATCAACTAACGTCAGGGCAATTTATCGGACGTAAGGGCAGAAGTTACAGTATTTTCGAATTTTAAGTGAACCAGCTTATTTAACTATAAAGTAATTCTTAAAAACTAAATACTTTCAAAAGTCTAATATTTTATTGATTTTTTTAGATATTTTGTTAACGAAGATATGTCCAAACTAGGTACCTCCACTTTTTCGCCATAAATTTATCGATTTTAAAACTCTTCCAATATATATATATATATATATAAATATAGATAACTAGACTCGTTTCGAAAAACCCTCGAATTTTTGATTTGCTAATCAAATCAATCTCGAGGGAAAAAAAGGTTTTAAAAAAAGAAAGAGCTACAAACATGAACTTCTGCTGACAAAAAAATCGCACAGATGCAGGTCTGAAGCCCAAAGAAAAAAACCCGATACGAGTAATAACTAACTAACAAAAGAGCTCAATACAACCGTAGAGCAGACTTTCCCTGACGATCCGTTTAGGTGAAACCTAGGTAGGTTTGTCTGGCTCACTAGGTGTATATATATATATATATATATATATATTTCTGACACATTACTTCAGTAAAATTAAAAACAAAATTAAATTTAAATTAATTTTAGTTGAAATAAACATTACTTATAACCTAAAAAAGTAACATTTCTTAACGACGGGTCCTGTATTTCTTTGATCTTTATTGACATATTGAAAATTTACGAAGCGATGGCAGCTAGTATGAATGACCAGAATTGACATAAATTTACAAAATCTAAGTGAACGAATTATTTTGGTTTTTAATTACCTAGTAATTTTTACAAATGTACATATTTTCTGCGATTATCTAATAATTTATTGACTTTTATTTACCTTTCAAAGATGCTTTATGAAAAAATAAAAATTTTAAAATACTATTAAATTTTCTTAAATTTAAAATTTAATAACAGATGAAATAACACGATAGAGATAACTTAATAATTTATGAAATGTTATTGTAATTTAATTATTATTAATTTATATTTTTGAATATATTTTTCATTTTATTTTTTATTATTAATTGTTATCATGACAGCTACTTTATTATTAAATATTCATATTAAATTTTATTAATTACATAATTTTTTAAACTTTTATTATTTTAACCCAATTAAAGTGAAATGAAAGAATTGTCCATAGCCGAAAAACATTTATATGAAGGGTTTTTTTTCCTAATGGGTGGAGGGGAGACAACCCTTGATACACGTAACCTTTTGAACATAATGTTACTTTTGAAACACCATACCCAGAAAAAAAAAGAAAATTTAAACAAAAAATTATTTTTGATTATTGTAAAAATCTTTGGTGTGATTAATTGTATTAAATTTTTCAATTTTCGCTTAGTAAATATAAATCTTCACTTAATAATTCAATAACCGTTTCATTGTGGAGTTTAAAACAATTTATAAAACATTTTTGAAGCTTTATAAATTATTATAATTAAAAAAAAGAAAAATGCAAATAATTCTTGTAAAAATTCATTATATATCGCAATTTTTTTTTCTTCAGACTATAATACCCTTAATTTATATTGTTTATAGAAGCAATTCAACGCTTATCTAATTAAATAATTACTTAGTTTTATTGTAGTTTTTATTTTAAAATTTGGTGCCGATTTTAGAAAAGTGGGTGTAAATTAGGGAAACAAAATTTGAGAAAAGTGGGTGTAAATTAGGGAAACAAAATTTGATGATTTACATTCACCAAGGTGTCTTGCTTTTAACTAATATAAAACCGTTTTCTCGCGTTTTTAAATTCTAGGAAATTTTATGAAATTAATTAAGGAGAGGGAGTTAACAGATGTAAAGAAAATATTTTTACTAAGATTTTCTAAGAATAATATTTAAAAAAATAAATGCATTCATTTGTGGATAAGTTCTAAACGTTGTATTAAAATCCAACAATTATTTGATTTTTGCGAGAATTTCCAAATGAATGTTTTTCAACTGAAAAAAAAAGCGCGAAAAAAAAACAAATTCTAAATATTACGTCACTGCTGACCTAAAAAAAAAAAGAAGATATTTAACTAAAATTTCGAAAGTGCGAAAAAGAATTAAAAAATTGAAAAAAATAATTAAAAAATAATTTGGTCTTTCCTCTTAATTACATAAATATTTTTGCAATAAAACTTTGATTTTATTAATTTTGGTTCCTTTTTCATCCTGTTGTCGCGTCCGCCTTTGGCCACTTTCAAAACAGGAGACTTCGACCTTGAGATTTTTGATCATGTTCCCTACACGCTGTGTAATTTAGTCTCATTTCGTTTTAGAATTGGCCTAATTACATTTTTAGTTCCTTTTGTGTTACAAACCGAGTCGTAATACACCTTGTAATGGACCGTGTCTTTAATGTTGTTGAGTAGAAGTAGAAGAAACATGTGGGGTCAGATTTTCCTGCTCGCCGGCCCAACTACATGAGAAAGTTGGACTTTTAATTAAGTCCAAAGAATGCAAAGAAAACAAACAAAACACAAGACCGATAATATATGTATACAAATATATATATTAATAACAGGTTACATAGAAACAGTTACAAAAGGACAAAGTGTGTGTGAATATTATATATGTGCGTTTGTGTGTGTGTGTATTGTGCTTAGCGTGTTCCCAGCATTTTGGGGAAACGCTATCTCTAGTGAGCGTCCACATTTTTGAGGTGGTAAGGCTGGTAGCCTGAGGAAAAAGAGAGATTTTACCTCAAGGTGTCGCCTGAGGGGAAAAAGAGAAAGAGACGAAGGGTCAGTGGCTATTTATAGCCAGGGAAGAGAGACTCCTGGTGAAAGGGTTAACGAACTAAAGGAGGAGTTAACTCCGACAACCTCTTAAGCATTTTTAGACGTTCGTTTTTTTAGCAAATCTCAATTTATTATTCGTTAAGATTTTCAGTATTTTGCAAAACCTGTGACTGCGACATCTACGACAAACAGCAGCGATCATCTGTAACGACCAGCATCGATCAACTTCTCTTAGCTTCGACTTCAATAACCTTTCCCGTATGCTATCTGTTATAATAACTACGGGGAGGTTTCAACACCAATTTCGACCAGCAGGGTTCGGTCAGTCAGTCGACCGGCTGATCGGTTGAACTCTCTGCCTTCGGGCGGGGAGGAACCCGAACGAGGCTACGCCGAAGGGCGGATTCTCTTTCGGGGAGGTAAAGCGACCCTGAAACCCGTTTATACGGGTTCAATGGGCATAGAGTTTGCCGAGCCCACGGGCTCGGAGATCCCACGGGCTCGGAGATCCCACGTTAAAAAGGCCTTGTGCCACATGACGCCCTCGTGGTGGTGGTGGTGGGGTGACTGAATATCTTCGACCAGCATGTATGCAACGTCTGCACATCAACTTTCAACTGTCGACACGACCGGAACGACTGAACCGCAACTTCTAACAGCTAGTATGGATGACCAGAACTGACATAAATAGTATACATTTCTTAACGACAGGCCCTGTTTTTCTTAAAAACCAATAAGATACTTTTGGGATTGTAAGAATAATTGTTTTCGTTAGTGAATATTGCATTAATAATTTTTTGGGGGATAACAATGTATTTTTACAGATACAATTCTACTATTTAGCCCATTGTTGGGGGAGCGAAGGGATGGATTCATTCCTTTCCAAAGGGTTTTTGCGCTTAAGTGAACGTAACTCGACGGGAATTTGAACACGGTACTCCGATTTTGCATTTCTACCTGCTATCTATGACACCACCCGCACATCCCACTGTGTCTCTTCTGTTTGGTACTGTGTTAAACTAAGTTTTAGTTAGGAAATACATCAACATATTAATGTTTCAGAAAGATAGGGGAGGACAGAATTGTTTAAGATGAAGATAGAATGTTCAAGATGATGGCAGTCTCACTTACTTGGTTTATGGTTTGGCCATTCTGAGTATTCAATTTTATGGTTGATAAATTCTTGTCCGTGAGCCGCAAAGAGAATCCTGCAAAGTTCAGCTCGGCCCATGAGCGGGAAATAATGAAGTGTGTACTTTGCCATTTTGGATATTAATTTGGATTCAACTACTTTTTCGTTGAACTGTACAATCAAATATGACGACTTGTTTTCAGGGAAAGATCTTTATATCAGGTTTTTTTTTTCTCTCTTTTTCTCTCTATTTCTGGGGCAAGGGAGAGTCGCTGATAAAAACAGAAGGAGGGAAAGACAACAAACAAGAAAAATTATGCAAATTTCAACTTTTCACCACTAACCCTTGTCCGAATCTTTATATAGACTTCTTTCGTTTCTTTAAAAGATCAGGTCACCAGGCAGGAATTTTCTGTTGATGACCTTGTTTCTGCCGTGTCATGAGGTTAATAAGGTCATACGTTCTTTATAGAGGAGTAGGCTTTAAAAAAGATTATGTATCTATCTATCTGTTCAGTCTATTCATATCTATCTATCTATCTATCTATCTATCTATCTATCTATCTATCTATCTGTTCGGTCTATTCATATCTATCTACGTAGTCTATTCTTTCTTTCTTTCTTTCTATCTATCTAAGGCAGTTCACATCTATCTATCTATCTATCTATCTATCTATCTCAGTCTGTTTATATCTATCTATCTGTCTGTCTATCTATCTCAGTCTGTTCATATCTATCTATCTATCTATCTATCTATCTATCTATCTATCTAGCTGTTCAGTCTATTCATATCTATCTATCTATCTATCTATCTATCTATCTATCTGTTCGGTCTATTCATATCTATCTACGTAGTCTATTCTTTCTTTCTTTCTTTCTATCTATCTAAGGCAGTTCACATCTATCTATCTATCTATCTATCTATCTATCAGTCTGTTTATATCCATCCATCTATCTATCTATCTATCTATCTCAGTCTGTTCATATCTATCTATCTATCTATCTATCTATCTATCTATCTATCTATCTATCTAGCTGTTCAGTCTATTCATATCTATCTATCTATCTATCTATCTATCTATCTATCTATCTATCTATCTATCTCTTCAGCCTATTCATATCTATCTATCTATCTATCTATCTATCTATCTATCTATCTCTATCTATCTATCTATCTAGCCAGGTCTGTTCATTATCTATCTATCTATCTATCTATCTATCTATCTATCTATCTATCTATCTATCTGTTCAGTCTATTCATATCTATCTACTTAGTCTATTTCTTTCTTTCTTTCTTTCTTTCTTTCTAAGGCAGTCAGTTCACATCTATCTATCTATCTATCTATCTATCTATCTATCTATCTATCTATCTATCTATCTCGTTAGCTAGCTATGTTGTATAAATAATGGTTAGAAAAGATATTATGTTTAAATATTCCTCTCTGAAGTCTTTTTTCCCAACGACGCGGCTCTCGGGGAGACGATGTTGGAAAGTACGAAATATTTTGCAAAGAGTGACCTTATAGCATCAAGCTACCACTTTCCTTTCGATGTCAATTTTTGTTCAAATCTGTGCAAAAAGTGGATCACAGAGCCATGATATTTTTCTACACCTCCCATTCGTCAGTTAATATTTAAATCATGTTCTCAACTACATCCGAATAACATCGACCTAATTCCTTACCTGACGAAAAAACATTTGCGCCGAATTCTGTCTATGTCTTCTTGGAGCCGATCACGTGATTACGCTGATTATAGATACCAGACACAAGTTCGTTCTTCCCCTCTTTTTGATTTCTCTCGCTTACTAAACTGTAGCTGTTTAAGAAATTGCGTTTTGACCCTTTACGTGCGGGCGCTACGAAAACATATTCACACACGTACACATACACGTACGTACGAAAGTTAATTGCAAACGTTACAAGTGTCATTACAAACATTACAAATATTCAACTACAAGCATGGGAAACTAATTAAACATTACGGAAATATTCATTCCTTCAACTCTTCTGAAGTAAAATGTTTATCAACATATTTTCAGCGTTACAGAATTTTGTCAACTTTAACACTGTTAACAATTTGAGCGGCAAGTTTATTCGAGTTTTTATCAGATAAAAAATATTTCTTTAGTAAAGACTTTAATTCCAGTCAAAGGGAAGTAATCTCTATGCTTGATCATCGTTACATACTTAAATATAAATATGAATATTGTTCTTGTTATAAAAAAAAAGTTTATCGTGTTGTTTCTCTTGTTTGTTTTTCGATTGCTTACCTATTTGTAAAGTAAAAAAATGTACGGGTTGATTTAGGCCATTAATACCGCTACAACCCCAAATCTTACCAGGTACGAATTGATAAAAAAAAAAAAAACTTATTTAACTTAAGTTATTATGATTAACTCACTGCGAGTGTTACTCAGATGGAATCGTATGCCTTATGGCAGGTGTGTGAAACTGGTGTCCCGAGGGCCACATGCAGCCCTTTACATATATCTTGGTGGCCCTCACAAAGGTTTTTACAACCATGCTACATCAAGAATTTTGTCTATATTGGTAATGCAAATTATTAAAAACAGTGAGATTTTTTGAATTGGTATGATTAGATTGTTTATTCTGTCCCAATGGTTTTTTTGTGTCACTTGTTATCATGAGGAAGAAAGCGGACAAACACTTGCTGCTTTGTGTGAGTATAATTTCGCTCTACCGAAAGCTTATTTTAATCTTTTTTTGATTTTCTTTAATTCTTTATTTTTCTTTTTTTTAATCTTTAAATTTTATTTTATTGTATTTTTTTTCTTTTTTCTCCCCCTACTCGTCAGTGTGTTTTGCCCATAGTAACACATTTTGTCCGAATCATTCTAACCTATTTGATGGTCCCGTTTCGAAAGAAGAATCAGAAAAAAGGGAAAATTTGTCTTTGGCTAGATGCGAAAGTGTCTCGTCAGTATTCTCATGATTTAGTGGCCGACGATTCTTGCTTGATAAATTATCTGAACTTGGAATTGTTTCGCCACTATTCTTTCTCCTGTTGTTCTTCATTTTTATTGAAAGCATGCCTCCCAGGCCCACTATTTGGTGAGGGCGGTGGATTGGCTGTTGACCCCCCGCCCACCAGGTCGATGCTTGGACTTAAGGTAAACTGTACATTCACTTGTTATCATGAGGAAGAAAGCGGACAAACACTCGCTGCCACGTATGTTGGGGCATTTATTATGACATGGCAATAAATCCGGATAACCTTATTTTCTTCAATTTCTTTTTAGAATAGACAATGTAACTTATACTAAGTTAAAACTTAATGTTGCGAAAGGGTAAATGGAAGTGTCAGCCAGGACTCTTTGCAAATGACCTCCCCCTCTCATCGTTACCTCTGTTTTTGTTGTTGTTGTATGTGTTATATGTAATAGGAGTAGGTAGGCTTTCCTACCGCCCGGTCCACACTCCTCCCCCTTCTCTTGGACATGAGTAGAGGCTTACGCCTTGTTTCTTGTTTAGGAAGGGGTTTCCGGTACTCTCTCTCTCTCTCTCTCTCTCTCTCACTGGCCTCTGGATCTCCAGTTGCCTTGATCTATCCACTACTCTTCTCCTCATCCTTTCTTCTATCACTCCTATCTGATCTTGCTCCAATCTTTCTGTAACCACTTGCGTCCTAGTGGCTTTCCGCCTTGATTGGGGTGAAACGCTAAAAAAACAAAATCATTTGATCATCCTTGACAACTAAATAAGAACAAATGTAAAGTGAAAACGTTCGTAATTTTGTAATATTTTACCTTAAAAATTTTGAATTCTACTTTATCTTGTAAAAAGAGAAAATTATCTGAAGAAAGACGTGTCTTTCAAAAAATGTCGGAATCACAATACTTTGGTCTCACTGTTAATGGAAAGAATCTGTTTGACTTGCAACCACTGCATTGCGATGTCAAAAGAATATAATGTAAAAAAGGCATTATGAAAGAAACCATCGATCTTAAGGAAGGAGATGTGCGTGTATCAAAAGTGAAGGAATTCAAGGTTAAGTTAATACAACGACTGGAATTTCAGCAAAGGAATTTCAGCAAAGGTTTTGTGATTTTTCATCTTGTGAAGATCAGTTTGCATTATTCTCAGCACCATTCACTTTTGATGTTTCTCCAGCAGAGGAACGTCTACAGATGGAAATACTGGAAATGCAGACTGAAGAAAGTACCTAAAAATAGGGGTACCCAGTTTTTGTTATACCTTCCTCAGATATTTAAGTACTTCAGACAGTTTGACACAAAGATTATGGTGATGTTTGGCTCCACATATGTCTGTGAACAATTATTTTTTTATTTATGAAGGTCACAAAACGTCTCACAGAACCAGATTAACTGATGAATATTTGTCATTTTTTATCAAAGTGGGATCTAGACAGACATTGCAACCGGATATATCGAGAATAGTTTGTCTAAAGCAATGTCACTCATCAAGACAACATAAAAATGATTAAATTGTATTACCTTGTATTGTAAGTATTTTGTATTTAAAGTTTAGTTACCACTAGCTGTGATTAATGTAAGACTGTAAGCAGGTGTGACTCTCGAGGCTGCAGATATGGCTGATGCGGACCTCCATATGCCCTGAGTTTCCCATGCCTGCCTTATGGAATGAAAACAACAAGTGCTATTTTTCAGAAAACAATTGAAAATGTATTAACTAGTGATGTTAAGAATATGATCATTTATCAAGATGATATATGCATCGGTGTTTCCAGTAAAGAAGGTTTAAAACAAAAAAAACGGATTATGTTCTAATCAAATTGAAAAAATGGTAGGATGATCGTAAAGAAGGATAAATGGGTATTAAATTGCGACACAATAGCATATCTGGGATTTCAGATTTCTAAACACGGAATTTCACCAGACTCCATTTGATAAGTTTGATTTGGAAGTTTTTTTTTTTTAAAGCATTCCACCCCAAGCAAGGCGGGAAACCACTAGCACGCAAGGGGTTACAGGGAGTTGGAGCAAGAGCAAATAGGGGTGATAGAGGAAAGGATGAAGAGAAGGATAGGGGATAGATCAGGGCATCTGGAGACGTCGATTGATATTACATTTGAATAGTTGGAGATTATATAGCTATCATGGAAACAAGAAAAGGTGAGGGAGTTCCACA